AAAAAAAAAAAAAAAAAAGGAAAGGTCATGATGGTTGTGCGAGTCGGGACCGGTATTGTGAGAAAAAATGGGACATTTATCCCATTTTTATTGGACAAGTGTATTTTTTTTGTTTCTAAAAAAAAATAAAAAAAATATTAAAATTCATATTTTTTCATTCTGTACAAATAGATATCACACTTGATATATTTTAGAGCACATTTGTAATTTTTAAATAAATTAAAATAAAATAAATATGTAAGTTGAGTTGGATTGATGATAAAGATAAATTAGGTTGGAAAATTGAGTTGTGTATGTGGAGGAGAGAGAAATAATTTTTAGTTATTATGTTGAGTTGGGTTGAGTTGAGTTGGAGATAAAGATGGTATTTATGATTTATATGTTATAAATTATAATGATAAAGCAACTTGTGTCGAACCATAATATGGACTATTAAATTAAAAAAAAAAAAAATCAAAGTACTTATAATGTATATAGTTATAAATTATAAAAATTACTAAAACAATTTTAACGTAATAAAAAAGTAGTAAGTTTTATAACTTTAAAATAACATGCATTACATTCTCTTAAAATTAATTATCAGTTTATAATATTTATCACAATTTTTTATTTTTACTATCACGATTTAATGATCGAAATAATATATTGTTATAATGTATGAGTAAGATAAGAGAGATATAAGTATAGACAAGAGCACTGTTCTAAAAATCGACCTAGGCGGCTAGGCGGGCCTAGGCGCTTCTAGGCGGCCTTGGCGGGCTCGGCGGTCAGGCGGTTAGGCGGCGCCTAGACGGGCATAAGCGGACCTAGGCGCTCCTAGGCGGGCTCGGCGGCAATTTTTTTTTTTAAATATTAATTAAATTATTTTTTTCTTATATTTTCTTTAAAATATATTAATCTGGTGATTTGGACTTAGGTGTGTTGATTTATTATAAGTTGATATAATTTCATTTTGTAGGTAGTTAAAATAAATAAAAAATAAGGTACTTAATATTGATTTCTAGGCCCCGACTAGGCGCCGTCTAGGCCCGCCTAGGCGCTCTAGGCGCTAGGCGCTGTTCGAACGCCTAGCGGGCGACAAGCGACTTTTAGAACATTGAATAAGAGAGATATAAGTATTTTTAGGAGTATTATTTATCGATTTTTTTTTTTTTTTTTTAATATGAATGTTCCTTATTTTTCTTTTAAAAAGAACTCTAACATAACAACTATTTTATAATTAGTGAAATAAAAATATAAATTATATATTAAACTACCATATATTATAAAAATTAAAAAATATATTTTAATAGTAATATTCGAAACTATTTATATATAATAAATATCACTTCATTGCTTTAATTTATACTATTTATCATTGTTATCTCGTACATTACAGGGGTTGCCTACCCGTTTGGTAAATATAATTAATAGCTTATGATGGATGACAAAAATACTAGCTTATATAATAAACATGTTTGATAAAATTGGATGACAAAAATACTAGCTTATATAATAAACATGTTTGATAAAATTAGATGATACAGGTGAATTAAATTCAACAGATTTATTTGAAAAGTTACTCAAAAAAACTTATAAGATGAGTTCAAATTTTTTGAAAAAGTTGGTCCTACCAACAAATTATTTGAATACATTAAACTTATAAATTAATTAACATTAAGCTACCTTGTATGTTTAGCAAAATCATTAATGGTAAAATATAAATTTGAGCTGTAAATAGAAATATGGGTTAATTGCATCTAAAATCATAACCTTTTCCTCAGTTGTAAATAAAACTCAATCTTTTCAATTTGGCAAAAAAACATAAAATCTTTAATAAGCATTACAATTGTGTCTCAAAATCAATTTCCGGCAGCCAATCACCTTCCGTCGCCGCCAACCGCCACCCGCGTTGGCCAACTTTGCCGGATGTTGAAAATTTTTACATGGTCTTGTAGCTCTCCTTCTTGCCGACAACATATATGAGTTTCACGAAAAATTCTGACAATAAGGCTTCCAATTTTTCGGTCAAGTTCGTAGATCTACAAATTTTCTCCGCCGTTCTTTCGCAAATTCTCAGTGACTCACTTTGATCCATTTGAATTCGAAGGTACCGTTGAAATCCTCTCGCAAAGCCGCATCTAGCTAGTGACGTGCACCTTAGCCGGAACCGGTGATCGTTTCTGGCGACGACTTTTTCCGGTCATCTTCTTCGTATATTTCCGGCCGATCCCCACGACGTTCTCTCCCCGAGGCCGACCTCCGCGACGTTCTCTCTCCGGTGAGCTTCCCCTAACCGCGAGCTCGACTTCCAGCAACCTCCTTCACTAGGCTTCCCCTTTGTGCACAGCCACCCCGAGCTCGTTTCCTGACGTGCCTTGGTCGGAAATTGATTTTGATTTTTGAGACTCAGTTGCAATACTTATTAGAAGTTTAATATTTTTTTGTCAAATTGAAAAAATTGAGTTTTATTTGTAATTAAACCAAAGATTACGACTTTAAATGCAATTAAAACAATAAAATGGCAGTGGTGTGTCACCGTCGATTTTTCTATTTACTTGGCAGAGAAATAAAATCTCTCTCCTAAGATAAGATAAGACTCGTTTGCCGGAGAAAAAAGAGGCGACGAGAAAGGGAAACGATTTACGTGGCGCCACGGCCAAGGGAGCCTCCCTCCGCCGCCTCTCATGAGGTTTTGAACTGCCGGTATGTGTTACTGTTCACCCTCAGCCTTGCCCTCGCCTCTTCCCCTTATCCAGTTACAATTTCTTCAAAAACTATGTGTTGGTTTTGTATTAACACGGCAATGCTGATTTCAGCTTCATTAACTGTCAATATTTTGAGTTTCGATTGTGCACCATGGCTGTACCTCTTTGCGTCTTGTTTTGTGCCGATTGCCAGGTCCCTTTCACGGTGTAATTATTGTGCATTGCCATTTAAGTGACTGTAAGATCGTTTTAGTTATCTGTTGGGAACTTGTGTGTTCTTCTATGGGTTTGGTTTTGTTTCGTTCACCGAGGTCCTCACCAAATTTGATGTCAGTCAAGTTACTGAAACAGAACATGAATATTAAGCCACGAAATTGCTGAATGTTGTAATTCATTGAGAAATATCCATCCAATATATGTGTTATCTATGCCTGAAAAACTGGACGATGCATATGGTGATTCACGGAAGGTGTTAAGAACGTATGCTGATGAATTTTTTAACTCTCGTAATTAGCTCACTGTTTGTTCATTTGAATGTTCTGTTCCTGCGGGTTTGAACTTTTTAGTGGTTCACTTACTGGCTTTAACCTTTTTTGGTGTTCTTTTTGTTTGTTTCTGACAGTAATTATTGGAATGATATTGAAAAATTCATATGTGATATGAGTTTGATGTTCGACATTTGTTCTAGGGAAGGGGCTGTTGTGAAACAAAGATTACTGAAGTATTTCAACTGTCAGCTGTGAGGCATATCAAGTTGTAACCTAGTACTACAATTCATCAGTGAGAAATATCATGTTTTTGATGAAAGCACCATCCAGTAAAGGTCTAACTAATAATGTGACTTTGAAGCAGTGATTCCGTAATCATTCTTTCTTGGGCTGGTCATGGCGATAAAACTTAGTGCTAAATTGCAGTATTCCGGACCTTTCCATGATCGTGATTTATTCAAACCCAACGTCCCAAATATAAAACAAGTAAGTCCTCTATCAGAATCGTTGTACTCACGATATTGAAGCATTTACTTATCATAAGAGCGAGTTGCAAATTGCAACTGAAGGTCGTTTGTTGAACTTAACTGCTTCTCGTTTTCTTCAGGCTAGAAAATCGCCAGCAACAGTTGCTTTTCACACCCTTCATAAAACAAACAGCATTGTTGGAAATAAATTATTTGAATCAGGTGCAGAATATGGGCCATTTAGAAAGGCTGTAGTTCAGGAACTGGTTGATCGACTCCATTTCTGTGCCGAAAAGGGGTTACTAACAGGAGCAGGAGCAATTCACGGATACGTACTCAAGTCAAATTTCGATGACTATGGCTTGTTGGTTCTACTCAATCACATCATGCATGCATATTCAAAATGCTCTGATTTTACGTCGGCAAAGCTAGTATTTGATTTTTTGCCGAGGAAAAATGCGTTCTCTTGGAGTGTCATTATCTTGGGATTTAATCAGCAAGAATCTTTTCGAGATGGGTTGAATTATTTTCACAAGATGATGGATGATGGGATATCACCCAATGGATTTGCATATTCCGCTGTCCTTCAGACGTGTATAGGCATGGATTCTGTAGATTTAGGTGGCATGGTGCATGCAAATATCATCGTTCGAGGCTTCGGGTCTCATGTAGTTGTTAGCACCGGACTTCTTAACATGTATGCAAAGCAGGGTAAGGTCGATGAGGCTTATAAAGTTTTCAACTCTATGGCCGAACATAATGTAGTAACTTGGAATACGATGATATCAGGGCTCTCTGCCAATGGGCTTCACTTGGAGGCTTTTGACCATTTTTTGAAGATGAAAGAGAGTGGATTGGTTCCGGATATGTATACATTTGTTGGTGTTCTAAAGGCTGTTGGGATGCTAGGTGATGTTGATAAGGGAAAGCAAGTGCATGAATGCATTTTGGAATTGGGCATGATGGACAACATTGTTGTTGGGACTTCTCTCATAGATATGTACTCGAAATGCGGTCATATACACGAGGCGAGGTCTGCTTTTATGTACGTTGCCGATTCTAGAGCCAATGGGCCTTGGAATGCAATGATTGGTGGTTACAACCTTTGTAACTATAGTGAACAAGCTTTACTATTATTTGTTGAAATGTGTCGAAAAAACATAAAAGCAGATATTTACACGTACTGCAGTGTATTTGATGCAGTTGCTAAATTGAAGTGCTTGCGGTTAGTGCAGGAGGTACATGGCGTGTTTTTGAAGTCTGGTTGTGTTTCAATGGATCCAAGTGTCGAGAACGCGATTTTGGATGCATATTCCAAATGCGGGCTCCTTGAGCAAGTAAACAAAATTTTCAACAACATGACGCACAGAGACATAGTTTCCTGGACTACTTTAGTCTCGGGTTATTCGCAATGTTCAAAATGGGATGATGCACTTGTTATATTCTCCCGAATGAGGAAAGAAGAGTTAACACCCAACAATTTCACTCTGGCTAGCGTTTTAACTGCTTGCGCTAATCTAGGCTATCTTGAATACGGTCGCCAAATCCATGGTCTCGTGTGCAAATTAGGTTTCGAAACCGTTAATTACATAGAAAGTTGTCTGATAGATATGTACGCTAAGGGCGGCGGCTTAAAAGAATCGGAGAAGGTTTTTGCAAGAATATCACTTCCCGATGCCGTCTCAATGACAGCTATAATATCAGCTTACGCATATCACGGTCTCGCGGCTCGTGCGCTTTGGCATTTCAAAAAGATGGAACAAATGAACATTAAACCCAGTGCTGTTACATTACTGTGTGTTATTTCAGCATGCAGCCATGCAGGTCTTGTCGAGGAAGGCCTTCATTACTATTGGTCGATGGATAAGGACTATGGTCTGGTGCCACAAATGGAGCACTATGCTTGTGTGGTCGATCTTTTGGGCCGGGTGGGCCGTGTCCACGAGGCATATGACTTTATAATGAGAATGGATCTCGAGCCGGATGAGATGGTCTGGCAGGCCTTATTGGCCGCATGCAGGATTCATGGGAATGCTGAGATTGGGGAAATAGCGGCCGAGAAGATTCTCTCTCTTTGTCTGGATAATTCTTCGACTTATGTTCTCCTGTCCAATACGTATACCGAGAGGGGCAATTTCAGAGACGGTTCCCGTCTGAGGAAAGAGATGAGGGATAAAGGTTTGAGGAAAGAGCCCGGATGTAGTTGGATATCTGTAAAAGGCAGAGTTCATAGGTTTTATGCTGCGGATAAGGATCACTCCTCGAAGCGAGATATTTATGCCAAGCTGGACGAGCTACGACAGGCTGTGAAGGATTTTGGATACGTACCTGAATTGAAATTTGCATTGCTAGTTGAAGGCTGAGACGGGAGGGAGTATTCAGTTTCAGGAGCGTATCTTGGTAATTGGTAGCTAGAGTGGACCTTTCGTTGTTTGATACATTTACGAAAGCACTGGAGGATTCATTCTGAACTACTTGTCATACTAAACGTGATAATTTGTACTCGCGGTCTGTTTAAAGGGTATCCATGTTACATAGCGACGTGAAACTATTGTGATTGAGGAAAGACGGAAGTTATCTTGCTGCTGGTGTTAGTGAACAGTGTGTTGAACTTACGTTTAACTTTGGACGGCATTGCAACTTCATCAACTGTGAGAGATTGTCAGTCATTTATTTGCGGACATTGAAGAGAACAGGTATTTAATTATTTTTTTGTGAAGTCATTACTGATGATATTAATATTATGTGCCCGACCTATTCTTAAACTTTGTGTCTTTATGTTTCTTGATGCTGTATGGCTTGGAACTGATTTATTTTATACTATTTTAATGATCCTTGCACTTGCAGTAACAATGTTTATATTACCATTTGCACCCCGATTTTGTTAGGAGCTATTGATTGGTGGGAGTGGGATTACTTTGGTTATCTTCCATTTACATGTTTATCAGTGCGTTTAATTAATGAGTTAGTACGTACCTTTAAATATGAGAGAAACCTATGATGATGGATTGGCGAAGATTGATGATGATGTATGCTGACAGTCTGGCCAGGTTACATTATTTTTTGTAATTTTTCCTTCTGATAATTTTGAGTAAGGGAAATTATTAATTTTGGTACCAATGTACATGGTCATGAACTATTTGTTCATATAATCAACAGTGGTCTCCTTTGTACCATAGGATATGATATTAATAGTAGTAATACAAATTGGACGTATTACAGATATGGTCTTAACATTTTGCTTGCTAATTATATTTTAATAAAATAAATCACATCAGAGAACAACCTGAAGGATTTTGTAGAGTTGGCCTTGGTTGGCATATCATACCTTTGTGTGGTTCACTTGTTTTTGTTTGGGCTTTCTTCACATGCACACCTTAAGCTTATCTTTATACGCGTATACCCACACACAAGACAACATATGCATGTCATCATTCACTTGAATGACAAGATTTGCTGTCTCTTTCGAATAAAGCTGAATAAGCAGCTATCGGGAGAAAAACTCTTGTGATCCCAAATCGATCTGATTTAGCAGTGCCGAAATATTTCCTCCTGTTGATTATGGAAAAAAAATTGTGGCTATGAAAATTCCGAATTTTGGATATAAAAATGTGGACAATCCATCCATACTTCTTGATGGTACTTATCGGTCCAGCGTGTGAGACTGTGACTTTGTGTATACCATATATATATTCCATAAAAAATAGTTATAAATGTGATTTTATATAGATTTGGGATTTGTTTTTCATCTTCATTACTGAATTAGTATGTTGCAACTTCAACTTTTGAGCTAATTATTATTTTTTTTTTTTTCATTTCAGGAAAAGCTATATTGACGGGTAAAACATCAATTAAGATCGCGTTTAGAGGAGAATTTGCCTAACTATTCTTGATTATTTTGACATGCTATGATTCAATGAAAACATGTATGTGGTTTTAGCGTCAAATGGTTCAACCAAGATTCATATTTGATGTTCGAATTCGCCATTACATGATAGCACAGAGCTTAAATTTTTCGAATTAAACGATGAAAATTAGAAAAAAAAATGGAGACAAAATACAAACAGCTGTCCTAGTTTCCTGGATTCTTTGCACGCACGGGTAAGCTTCTCCTCATATAGCATTGGTCTTTTAAGGCAAAGATTTTGTAAGTTTGCATGTATTGGAATTTCACGTGAGAATGAAAATGACATTTGTTACCCTTCACCAGTTCACAGGCACACCTCATAACTCTTGATGAAAGCGACTTTCAACATTTCTATCTCATTCAATATTGTAGTAAATATCAATTTTTTTATTATTTTTTTCGATTCGATCCGTGATTCATATTCGAGAAATTCGAACAAGAATCTTTTCGTGAATTTGAATTGAATAGTTGAGTGTTCGCTACTTTTCGAATCGGTCACAGCCCTAATCACAACAATGGTTTTCTGGCAAACCAAATGAGGTTTTGTGGGTTTATGCTAATTAATTATTCACTTGCCTTATGTGCTCAACTGATCGAATTTTGTTCAAAATACATTTTTGTTCGATATATATGTTCATTGTGCAAATAATTATAGTATACTACTTTAGTCTATCACCAGCTGCTATTTAAGGATAATTTTTTTGGGGCTTTATGGTTTAAGTTATTTTGTTTCGATTTGTAACATTTGCATGTGAATGTACTTTCCCGAAGAGCAATTCACGTGATCAATTTACGTATCCATCCAATTTCATACACCACCACCATTGTTCTTATAACAAGATAATATTTCCTACATGTGAATTTAAATCCACTATATACAAATTCAGTGCTATGCAGGTGTCTACATCATGCAAATAATTATAATTAATTTGTAAATGGATTCATCTAATCTAATTATTATTATTATTTTTTTTTTTTTGGTACTAAAGAGGGAGGAGGAAGCTTAAGAAGCTATCCTGCGTGGGTATGCCGCTTCGACAAAGTCGTGCTCCAGCCATGGCTTCAGCCCAGCTAGCAGGAATTCGAGGCGTTTTAATCCTCCAGGACTAGTAGACGCTAGTGTCGCCAAATAATCTGCCGAGAAGTTTGATTCTCGATAAACCTGCCTGACTTCCACATACCATTCCCGACTTCGTAGCTCATTAATTATTTGTTACTTGTATATGGATATTTTTTTTCATTCTTAATTAGTTTTTTAGACCTAAATATCTATTGGGTGTGCATGTGATTATGCAACTTGTGTATATATGGCGGACTCTCCTAAATCAGTCCCATATCTTCACCGTGATAAAATAAACCTAATAAAATTGTAAAATTTCCACTTTATTCTGTATGTCGACCTTAATCTATTTGAGCTGCTGGGCTGGGGACCAAACTCCAAAGCCAGCAAGTGTGACGTACTTGTGATTGCTAGATTGTAAACTAGGAAGGGGAATTTTTTGTCCCCATGCATCAATTTTTGTCACCTACTTTTTTTTTTTCATGCTCAAATTTCTCTTTAATTTCTTCTAATAAGGTCTAATGCAAAATTAAATAAAATTCTAGTGCTAGGTTTTATTAGAATGTAAAACTTGAATCTATATCTATATAACATCACAGTCCTTATGCTAAGTGTTATAATATTAGTCGTTAATTTCGTCAAAGTTTTTCCGTTCGTTTTCTGAATTCATCGCACCATATGCTAAGTGTTATAATATTATTGAAAACCTAAATCTATACCTATAAAAATATAATTGCACATTCCATTTTAGTCATTAATTATGTCAAAACTTTGCAGTTCACTGCCAATAGATGGCTTAATTACATAAATTATCACTAATCAAATCCTAATTTAGGAAAATTAGGCAAAAAGCTATGAGGTTTTATATATATTTGTGTATATATGGAGTGCATTGTGTTTTAGAGTAATGATGAAAGGGGTGCACATGTGAATATATGTGGGTACGTGATTTGTCCTCAAGGCATGGAGACAATGCTGGAAGCTAGCTAGCCAGAAACAAATGCATTGTTTTATATATGTTTTGCATATCCATTTTTTTTTTTTTCAAATATACATATACATAATTACTATACATTATGCCTGTGTGTGTTGTGCATTATATGAGCATCGATTTTGCTATGGAGCCAACAATTGACTCTGTACTGAAGCCAACCTTCTATATACGACAAATAAATCTATCATATTTGTAATATCCCGATATTTTATCGGTATAAATTACGTTTTAGTTCCGATATAATAATGTTGTCAGTTATTATTTTCGGAATTTATTATTTTTAGTCGAGATTACCGAAATATATTTTCGACGTACCGTTTACGTTCGGAATAAATTTTTGGTAATTAAGTACTATGTTTAATCAATAATTAAACATTAAGGTTAGGGTTAATTAGTGATTAACCCTAATAAGTCTCTAGCCGTGGCACTTAAGGAGAATTCCTCCAAAATTCATTCAGTATATGTATATGTTAAATTGTAACATTCTTTAATTGAGAAATCAATTCTCCTCACTTTTGTAATCGGCAGACGTGGCATCATTTAGAAGGATTAGTCATCAACAAGTTATCTCTTTTACTTACAAGTGTTGAGAAACACATCGCTTATCATTCCAACCCTTTTTCTCTCGGCTTTTGGAGAGAAAAACTTTCATATTCTTCCTTCACAAATTCAGAGCTTTGAGAGTGAGGAGAAAGATCAGAAATTCGATCAGTTAATCAAAGGGAGAGTGTACTGTTTTATCATCCCTATCGCACAACTACCGCACAGCAACCCACACCACTTCGGTCGCCTCGCGCAAGAACAGAAAAGGGGAAATTCTGAGAATACTTTGTGAATTCGATCGAGATTGACGAAGGTAATTCAGAGTTATCTCTGAATTGATCGTGTAATAATGAATTAGTTCGGATTTTGTCGAAATTTAGGGCCGATTGACCGTGTATGTTCGTGACTGTTCGTGCGCGTGTTTGTATGAAGAATTGATTCAAGCTGTTATGTATTTCTGCAGTTCTTTGATAGATTAGGCTTATTTAGTTGAGTTAATTGAATAAAAATTCAGGTGTGTTGAGCTGATTGTGTTGTTAATAAGAGAGTTTCACCGGAATTCTAGCCGGGTTTTTGCTGTGAGCAGAGCCGTGTGACTGTGTGTATGTGTTCATAAAAGTTAGGTGAAATTTTCATGTTAATTCAGTAGTTCATTGATATCAGGCCTTCTTTAGCTAAAATATGTAACTAAGTGTTCAGTTTTGTAGTGGTGAATGTTGTTCTATGGTCGGTTATCGACCGAGAGGGGTGGCAGCGCATATCGTGTAAGCCACGGGCCGTTGTGTTTGGTTCAATTATGATCTCGAGTTGTTTATTCAGGTCATGTTTAGTAGTTTAGAGTGTTATTCATGTTGATTAATGTGATGTTGTCAAGAGAAAAGTTAGAGGAGTCAAGTGATGGCCGAACACCGTCGGCGGCGCACGGTGCGCTCGCCACGGTCGTTAATGATTCATTGTGCAAATTTTAATGTTTTCAAGTAAATTTCAGTACTTATGTTCAGGTTATAGTTAAATTTTGTGTGATTTAAGTTGCAGCAACATTTGAGTGATGAGTTGTGTCTATGTATTTTGGAGTTGTTGGAGAAGGGGTAGAAAAGATTAAATGGCTGAGTGTCGGCCATTGCCGTTAGCGGCGCATGGCGTGCCGCCGCGGTCTTCCTAAGTTCATCGTGCATCAGTTGCGTTTCAGGTCTTGATAGGCTATTATAGTCTTATTATGTTCAGTATGTCAAGTTGGTCGATGTCTTGTTTAGTTCAGTCGAAGATTTGGCCAAAGGCCATAAGCCTCGTACGTAGCAAACGCGCCACGGCCGAGGGCTAAGTTCGGTTAACAAGTTAGCCATTCTTTATTATCTTCGGTTTAAAAATCATATTAGATTATAAAGTGTGCAGTTAAGTCAGTTTAGCCGACCGCCCGGCCGCAGCAAGCCGGTGGTCCGGCCAGAAAATAAACCGATCGGTTCAGACCGCTTTTTGAGCAGTTCAATAATTACTGATCCGATTCGAGTCTAGTACAGTATTTTAATTAATTTTTCAGTCCAGTCAGTCCAACATACCGGTACCAGTTTAATCCGGTACTTCTTGTCAGTCAAGTTAAGTCCCGAGAATATTCCAGTTAAATATTTTGATCGAGTCGAGCATCTTAGCAGTTATTTTCAGTCAATCTGAGCATAGTACTTAGTATTTGTTTATGTATATATTTTTCCAGAGTGATCAGCAGCAGCAGCACTTACATTAGCAGTTCAGGTGGGGACTCAGACTAAGTACTACATTGACTATAATTACAGTTATTATGTTCAAGGTATGTATATTCAGTTCCTGCTCAGTGAGGCTAGACAAAGTAAGACCATCTGAGTTCTAGTGGCGTAATCTGCCCACTAGAGTGTGCACATAGGCGCGGCGCAGTATATTATAGCCGCCAGATACAGCATTCGATCCCGTAGCAGTTACGGGTGATCGCAGTTACAGTACATGACATGACAGTTCAGTTATATATGCTTTAGATCATGATATTGCAATTATTATTAATGTTTACTTTAGTATGAGTTTCTGCGGAGTACAGTGTTTTAGTACTCACGCTCCCACTATTATGATTCTTTTTCAGGTGACAGGGTCGGTCCTGAGGAGTGAGCGGAGCGGGTGGTCACTGGAGCTATAAATATGTAAATTACGTTTTTGTAGACTTATCTTATGTAAATTATTACCACGTTTTACTTCCGCTGATGTTGTCAGATTTTGAAACTAGCGTGTAAACTTTCAGACTATGATCCGAGTCTTCGGGTCAGACTTTATATGATACCACACGCTTGTATTATGAACGATAATCCGTTCTCATAAATAAGATCTCAAAATAAATATAGTTAACGGATTTTTAGAAAA